GTGGTGGAGTACCTGCTGGATCACTGCGGCGCCCGCGTGGAGGAGGGCGGCTCGGTCAACTTCGATGGGGAGACCATCGAGGGGGCCCCGCCGCTCTGGGCGGCCTCTGCAGCCGGGCACCTGGGGGTGGTGCGCAGCCTCCTGGATCACGGCGCGTCCGTCAACCAGACCACGCTGACCAACTCCACGCCGCTGCGGGCTGCTTGCTTCGATGGGCACCTGGAGATCGTGCGCTACTTAGTCGGGGAGCGCGGGGCTGACCTGGAAGTAGCCAACCGGCACGGACACACTTGTTTGATGATTTCTTGCTACAAAGGGCACCGGGAAATTGCACGTTACTTGCTAGAGAAAGGGGCTGATGTCAACCGCCGGAGCGTGAAGGGGAATACGGCCCTGCATGACTGCGCTGAGTCCGGCAGCCTGGAGATCCTGCAGCTATTGCTCCGCTCCAAAGCCCGCATGGAGAAAGACGGCTATGGCATGACTCCTCTGCTCGCTGCCAGTGTCACCGGTCACACCAACATTGTGGAGTACCTCATCCAAGGAGGGCTGCAGCAGCAGCAGGAGGAGGAGGTGGTTGCAGGGAACCAAAATGGGACCTGTGCATCAGGTGGGAGCCATCAGAGGTGCTGCAGCACTGACAAGGAAGCTCCTCAGGGCTGTGATGAAGAGGGGTGCGAGAGATGTTGTGCCTCAGCTTCCAGTCAGGATGAGCAGCAGGTCCCTAACGTGTTCTGTACTCGAGAGGCTGCTGTGGAAGCACTGGAGTTGCTGGGTGCTACGTTTGTGGATAAGAAACGTGACCTTTTGGGAGCCCACAAGTACTGGCGAAGGGCAATGGAGCTTCGGTGTGAGGGCGGGCAATACCTGCCTAAACCTGAGCCCCGGCAGCTGGTGTTGGCCTACGACTATTCCCGGGAAGTGAGTTCGCTGGAGGAACTGGAAGCCTTGATTACTGATCCAGATGAGATGCGCATGCAGGCACTGCTGATTAGAGAGCGCATTTTGGGTCCTTCTCACCCAGACACTTCCTATTACATCCGTTACCGAGGGGCCGTCTATGCTGACTCCGGCAACTTCGAACGCTGCATTAACCTGTGGAAGTATGCTCTGGACATGCAGCAAGGCAACCTGGAGCCCCTCAGCCCGATGACTGCCAGCAGTTTCCTTTCCTTTGCTGAGCTTTTCTCTTATGTGCTTCAGGACCGCTCCAAAGGCACTTTAGCTACCCACTTGGGCTTCTCTGACCTCATGGGAGTACTGAGCAAAGGGGTCCGGGAGGTGGAGAGGGCGCTTGTGCATGGCAAGGACCCTGTAGTTGACTCAGCGCAGTTCACCAAGACACTGGCCATTATCCTCCACCTGGTCTTCTTGCTGGAGAAGGTGGAGTGCACCCCGGAGCAGGAACACCAGAAGCGCCAGACTATATACCGCCTGCTAAAGTGCAGCCCCCGGGCCAAGAATGGCTTCACTCCTTTGCATATGGCTGTGGACAAAGATACCACAACAGTGGGACGTTATCCTGTGGGCAAGTTTCCATCGCTCCACGTTGTGAACTTGCTTCTGGAGTGCGGGGCTGACCCAGATAGCCGTGACTATGACAACAACACCCCGCTGCATGTTGCTGCCCGCAACAACTGCCCGCTGATCATGAGTGCCCTGATGGAGGCTGGAGCCCATATGGACGCCACCAATGCCTTCAAGCAGACTGCTTATGAGCTGCTGGATGAGAAGCTGCTCACCAAGAGCATGATGCAGCCCTTCAATTACATCACCCTCCAGTGCCTTGCTGCTCGCGCCCTGGACAAGCACAAGATTCCCTACAAGGGTTTCATCCCTGAGGAGCTGGAAGCCTTCATTGAACTGCACTAGGGTGGGAGAGCTGAAGTCCCCAGCCTTTCCCCTCACCTGTTTCACCCCGCAGAGGTAGTGCAGCCTGAGATCTCAGGCCATCCTTGCCTAGGTGCCGAAGGCCGTCACTGTGCTGAGATGGGCTGCGAGCTTTGTCCTCATCTGTCACCATCAAGCTGGCGTGCGCAGGGGTAGGGGAGGAGGAGGAGGCTCGAGAGCTCATGGCTGTCCCTCATTGTTGTCATCTTCAGGTACCAGATATCTCCAGTGCACTGTATCCAGAGAAGGCTGCAGCCCCTGCCCTTTCCCATGCCAACCGTCTTGTCCTGAGAAGGAAGGAAAATGGAGATCCCTGGGACCTGCTGCCTCTCCCATTAGTGCTGGATTAACTCAGCGTTAAGCTTTGGAGCAGCTACACATCACACACGTGCTCTAGCCCTTCCCATCCCAAATACTGAACAGATAGGAATGCAAGTGAGGAATAAAATAATCTTCCAACTAATTCTTTCCCCACCCCCTTCTCAGATTTGGTACAGTACGAGTCTAACAGCCGAGTGGCTTGTGCTCTGCTGAGGTAGTTGCCTTGCATGGCAGTAGGGCTGGGTATGCTGAGGATGGGTTTTTTTTCTCCCTTGGTTGGCCAAGTAGCAAGTGGTGTTAAAGGCCTGAGATTTCAATGATTGTGCATAAAGCTGGGTTATTTTTTCTCTTTTAGAGCCAGGCCCTATCTATGCTGCAAGACTTCTTCAATCCTGTAAGATATAGTAAGGTCAGTTCTGGTTATACAGTTTCATCAATAGATGTTGGTTTTTACGAATGGGGAGGAAAAACTGCTACCTTAAAAAAAAATACTGATGTGGCATTCAGGCCCTTAGTTTGCCCATTCTGCACATGTTCACTCCCTTCCCCGCGTGGAGGTCCTTCAGCTCCAGAGGTCAGCAGGGATTGAGCTGTACAGGGTGGGTATGGCCAGGTTTCAGAGCCAAACCAGTGCACTTTGAACCATCTTTGAGGATGTGCTCGTGCAGGCCCTCTAGGATGGGAGGTACTTGTAGCGTGGGTGGTGCTTGGGGGGTTATTAAAGCAAGTGAGCGTTGGTGGCATGTTTGCATGCGGGTGGTCTGATGGAAGGAGCAAGAAAGAAAGTTCCAGGTGCCACCTTGTTGTTCTGAGGTTTTTTAGTATCAACCGATTGGGCTCTGTTAATTATCCCGTTCTGAAAACCTATATGGTTGTTAGCATCTGGTTTTGGCTTTTGATTCTTTTTGCAATTTTACTGAGGATGGTGCTGCTTCAAAGATTGAATTTGAAATCTCATTTGGCTACTGTTTGGGCAAGCTCCTTTTTTAAATTAGGATGTGCACACAACTTGTTTTTCTCTTGAAATCTGTAGTCTCAGGGTAGGTATTTGCCTCCATTAGCAGAACCCTCCTTGGTGGTAAACAGTCAGTGTTGGTAAACATGGTGCTGTTCCAGCAGTTTATCTTCTTGCAGGGAGGGTGACTGGGCTTTGGCAGCCTGCGGCTCATTTCTTGGCCCTGGGCAGAGTGGAAAGCACAGTTGGGGGTGAAGCAGCTGCCTCTGAGATTTGGGAAAGGTCAAGACTGGGAGAGCAGAACCCTGATAAACAACCATGCACTATATGCTACTGAAGCTTCTCTACGTGTATTTATAAGCCAGCATATCCATATGCCTCAATAATCCAGTGCTCTCTGCCCCTTAAAGATATTGTAGATCTGCCATTACATTTTTGCAGTGTTAACTATAACATTTATTTATAAAGCAAGGAGGTTTAACTTTTATGGAGATGTAAAGTGCAGAGTTAGTTTAGCTGCATTCTATTTTTTTTTTTTCTTCCTTTTGGCTGAAACCTGAACTAAACTGCAGGAATGGAATTTGTTAATTTGTGAGCTGATGAGCGCTCTTAACTTTAAATAATAAAACAAAAAGTGGCTGCTAGAGTGCAAGTGCCTTGGACTTCTTGCTGGTAAGCCTCTATTTTCAGCTTGTTTCCTAGGGATGGTACACTTACGGGTATGGAAATAACTGGGCGTTTGCAATCAACAGAAGTGATTGTTTTATTTCATCTGAACTTCCTCCTGGGAAAAGCTAATCTGTACTGCAATTGCAAACATTTCCCCTGAAAAAGGATAACAGTGACACTGAAGTGACACCTCTATATACTTTGCCTTACCTTTTGATGTAAATGAAACAGTTGTGGAATGATGCTACTCTGTTGGCTCAGAAATTACTGCCTTATATACAGTTGGGGCTGTGGGTGCAACAAGCAGAAAGAGGCATGCGGTGTGGCTGTCATCAATTTCTGTTTTTCAACCCCAGAGCTGTCAGTGGGAGGTCAAAAGCAGGCAGAGGAATGAAAGGTACTGGAGTTAGTTCCACACAAGAATTTGGATTTCCAAAAATGCTTGGCCTTCCCCAGGGAGGATGGGAGTAGATGGGTAAAACGTTTGAATGTTTGTCCCTCATTGATTGCTCCATCCTCAGAAATAATTCTCGATCAACGTTGCTGCCTTCTGTTTCCTTTGAAAATGCTAGACACGACATTTAAGTAGTGTCTGCAGTTCTGTGGGACGTGCTTCTCCCATCTAAATGCTGCCGCTGTGCTGCAGGTGATCTCCAGGCGTGTGGGTGAGCAGCTGCCACCACAGGTACAAGGAACCGGATTAGCCTCAGGACTGAGGCAGCGGCTGATCTTGATCATTCCTGGCTGTGGTGCGCTCTGCAATCCCATCCCGTAGCCAGAGCTGCTGGGAGGAGAGAGATGAGAAGGGAGCTCTGCCACAGCTGGGGTGGGGAAGCAACTCTGGAGCCGGGATCTTGTGATCGGGTAGCTGGGGGATCCAGTCATGTACAAAAGCCTCAAGGAGGAGAATACTTTGTGTGATAGAAAAGAGCTTTAATTTTTTTTCTTTTTTTAACACATAAGTAATCTAATTGCATAGTAAGGACCCAGTAATTAAATGTTGATAATAATTACTGGGTGGGAGAAATCACTGCATGAATTTAGGGGTAATTACAATGAAAGTCCTTATTTATTGTAGGTGTGGTCTGGGCCAGCTCCAGTATGTGGGGCAAAACAGGGAGTTGTGGGGAGCAGTGAAGTGTTTGGGTGATGATTTTGTTATTTTGAGTAACATCAGTCTTGGAGAGGAGTGGAGCTTTTTTATTCACTGGGGTGGCTACCGACCCTCCTGTAGCACACTGCTGTCCAGGAGCCCTTCTGTACACTGCCACAAACAAAATGTCTGCCATTTATTCCTTTCTTAAAGCCTAAGATGTGCTTTTCTCTCTCTAATACTGCTAATTGGCCCTCTTGAAAATAAAGCCTCCCATACAGGTTTCTATAGAAATGCAAAAGTGGTGAGAAATTCCCTGGGGTTTTCCTGGCCCCAGTTGCAGGTGCCCTTCTACCGATGGAGCCTCCTAATGCCATAAGATCAGTCTTTACAAAGAAAAGCAGCCTAGAGCATAAAGATAGGGATACCGTGTCAGCATTTCCCAGGTTCCCAGAGAAACTGGGGAAGAACGAGGGGTTCACAGGCACACGTGCATTCTCCTGGTGAAAATGCAGCCCTCCGTGGTAAAGCCTCCCTTTCTAGGGTGAGCGACAGCAAAGAGGGCCCTGCAAATGTGGGAAGGGGGAACCTGCTGCTGTGTGTAAACCAGGGCTGTGGCTCTGAAGTGGAAGTTGCTCCCAGTGACCTTTGAGCCTCTTGGACCTCCGCAAGCTGTAAGCTTAAAAAACCCCAAACCCCAACCCTGCAATGTTTTACAGTCTGCTGCCATGTCTTCCCCTTTCTCTGGTCCAGGCAAACTTGATGTGACTGTTAAGGTTGTTTACAAGCTTGAGCAGCTTCCAGTTGACTAGTTTTGCATGACGTTTATTTATAGAAGGCAGAAGAGCTGGAGAAGGTGTGATGTATATGTTTTCTCCCAAGGGGAGGGTCTGTCCTGGTGGCTGCACAGCAACAACTGCAGTGTGACAGGGATTGCAGTAACACAACGCCTATTTGAACAAAGGTGATGTAGAGGAGAGAAAATAGGGAAGTAGAAGGAATCCAAGCACTTGGAGGATTCCAGCAGGCTCTAAAAAGAGTGAATGAGTTAATCCATTGTCACTGGGTCCTCCGAAGTTAAAAGCCAAACTGTTTCAAGGCTGGAAGCGAACGACTGATGGCAGCTTTTAAATAGCAGTGCTTTTATGTGGTTCTTGTGCTCAGGACAGAGGGGGCTTTGATTTGTCTGAGCCTGGTGTCCTGTGCTAGTTCTCAGCCAAGGAGGAGCTAAGCCTCCTTGAGGTGGGGGGGAGGGAGGCAGAGAGACCTTCTAGGGACAGATCTGTGAGAAAGGACCTGCGACTTCTTAAGAGGAAATTCTGTGGGGTTTAAATCCAAACCTGTGACAGCCACTGCTCTGGTGCAGTTTTAAGAGTAGGGACACGTCAGCTCTTGGCTCCTACATCTGGTGGTGCCCAGGAGCTTCAGAACTTGCACTGAAGTTCGGTCAGTGCCCAGGAGCTTCAGAGCTTGCACTGAAGTTCGGTCAGTGCCCAGGCTCTCCAGCATCACGCTGCAGACTTCCTCGGCCCCTCCTGAGGGGCACAAGCTGCTCAAAACCAAAAAAGGCAGCAGTTGCAGCTTTCAATGCAGGGCAGGTGCATTGTCCTCCTTTGTACCATTACCTGTTACCCTGAGGAGCCAGGAGTAAGGAGAGACGCCCATTCTGCTCTCTCCTCTGTGCTGGGGATTCAGGTCTCAAAGTTGAGCTTTATTTAGTAGGCTGGTACTTGTTTGGAAGGGTGTGCTTGGTACAGAACGAGCTTCGGGTAGATTGAGCCAGAGAGAAAGAGTGAGAATTGGACGGTCTCTAGCCCGGTGACCAGAGCGCTCCCTGGGAGGGGATTAATATCAGCTGAACAGTCTTTTCTCCAAGGACTTATTAATATCTGTTTTATGCAGGTGTTAGTTGCAAGGCTTGGATGGTTCTTGGACAACAACTATAATCCCGATTAAGGCCCTTGGGTGCCCAGCTTGGGCAGTCCTGGGTCCAGGGTGGCCTGCAGGAGTCCTGCGCTTCAGCTGCCAGACCATGCGGCCTCCTCTCAATTTGAAACGTACTGGGACAGCCATTGAGGGTGACACAAAGTCACACACATCTGCAGAAATACCGGGAATGGAGTCGCCTCCCCTGTATCAATCACACTGGCCCTTGAGGTCCATGTTAATGAGGACTTGGCAGCTCTTGGGTTCCTTCCTAGGGTGAGGAGTAGAGCGGGCACTGTCCTGCGGCCCCGGTGCAGGGTGAGTTGACTCCAGAGCTCAAAGCTGTTGGCTGGGCTCTGCTCTGCAGAGGGAACAGTCCCATTTCTACTCGTCTGGTGGCTTTGGGCTGACCTCTACTGACAGAGCGGGCAAACGGCAGCGGCAGAAACCGTCAGAGGGAGAGCGTGGAGTCTGGGGCTTTGCTTTGGATACCCTGCTTGTGTTAAAAGCTTAGTAGATATCTGCCTGGTACAGCCTTCACCCAGGTCCTGCAGAATACCTTCCCCATTCCTGGCCTTTCTCCATCCCTTCTGTAATGCTCTGCTCAGTGCTTTTGTTTTTCTGTCAGAATTTTTCCTCAAAGGCAATAAAATCCATAGGTGGAGTAATCTCCCCAGGGAACATTTCTCTGTGCAGCAGCCAGTCAAACAGGGCCCTGGTCCCACCTCTGACCTTTTACAAGCAGGTAAGAATGGAGGAGAGAACACTCGGCTTCTGCCTCCTCGGACTTCCTCTGCATTTCCCCCCTCTCATTCCACCTTCATGAAGTGATTTTTTTAACAGCTTTACTGTTAAAATTCTTGTTTAGCCTTCAATCTGGTGTGTAATCTCAGTTCTAGAGTTTTCTTAAATAGAGAAATACTCTCCTTCAAGCCGTGGCTCCAGAGGCACATGGGAATTTTGTCTTTCACAAACAAAAAACTTCTCTCTCTGTAGTTTCGGAGGGGAACTGGGAAAAGTGATCTCTTGAAGCCTCAACCCGGAGGCCAGCAGCCTCTCAGAAGGCTGTGCAGCTGGTTTCATGAACCTTCCTGGGTCTGATGCGAGCAGCTGGGGGGAAGTGGCGCTGGTGTGTGCTGCAGCAAGGGGAGCACACTGTGCACACAAAGTAGGTGTCGGTGTGAAAGGCTGAGAGGATACTGTGTGACCCCGAGCAAAGAGGACTGCTGGAAGAAAATGGTGGGACCTTGTGGTGCTTAGCACCTGACAGGAGGCCACAGCGACTCCCCAGAGCATCCCCTGAAGATTTTCCCTCAAATGATTTGATCAGCAGCAGATTATGAAACAACCCCGGTGTGCCGTCTCCCAGCCTCCTCCACCCCAGATGTACAGACACACGAAACAGTTTTCCTGATATCCCTGACTGCCCCTTTGCTAATTCTACAGGAAAGAACCAGAGAAACACAAATAAGTTAATTAAAATTTATTTATAAAACCTTCCAGGAGCCTCAAAAAAATCAGGAAAAGTTTTCTTGGTTACTTGAAAATAAGCACAAGGAAAACAGTCTCGGGAGATTGTAACCTCTCTTGTCCAACAAAAAAGGAGGTAATTTTCTCCTGTGCTCCGAGAAAGTGGTACCTTTTACCCGCAAGGAAATAAGAATAGTCCCAGTCCCAGCCGAATCACTATAATCTAGGGTTTGAAACGAAGTGCGAGTGTCTGCCCTGGGCTGACCTGCTGCGTCTCTGCTCAGGCGTTCTACCTGGTTTCTTCCTCGCTGTCCTGCGGACCTGGTGTGACATTTTCTACCTGCATCGTGTTGTGGTTCCCAATCTGAACCATTTGAGCATGCTGAATGATGAGGGGCGGGATGCCTTCTGGACCTGGCATCATGTTGTAGTGGCCTGATAGGAGATGAAGTGGTTGGAAAGGAGGGCGACCCATCTGAGCAGGCATGGGGTGACCAGTGGGAGGAGGTGGGTATGTGGCAGGAGGGGGGCACCAGTGTCGGGGTGATTGCTCCGGCAGCAGCGGCCGTGTTGCTGACAGAGGCACCTGGGGAAGGGAGCCGAGGTTCAGAGCAGATAAGTTCTGCAGTGTTTGATACTGTTCCTGATACAGCTGTAGTTTCCTTCTCTGCATCAGGTCCCACATGGCTTTCCTCTCATTGATCCTGCTGGTGGTAAAGGTGTTCTGCACTGTCCTAGAGAACCCAGGAGAATTCTCATCCAAGGGCATCAGCCCGCCCAGTGCGCTGGGAATCTGACTCCGTTCCAGGGGGTTTTCCTTGGGCACAAAAGGGATGACTGAGTCACGCTTGGATGGTTTCAGGATGGACTCCATCAGAGCAGTGTTTGTCTGAAACATACACAGGTCGCATGGGAAGTTCTTGGTCAGCAGAAGGATGATGAAAGCGGAGTTTTCCATAGCATCCTGGAAGCAAGTCAGATGGCTGCGTCCAGCAATGAAGAAGTCCTCACAGAGTGTGGCACCATTGGGAACCCCCATGTTCTCCAGCAGGTCCTTGACCCGATGGGCAACAATCTCATCTTCACTAGCATGTAGGACAACAAAAGTGAAGAACTTTACATCATCTGGCTCTGATGTGGGCACTGGTTTTACAGATTGGAGAGGAGGAGGCCAGGCTGGAGAGGGGGACGAGTGGAGGGGAGTGGGATACGATAAGTTGGAAGGAGCTCCCTGAAGAGGATGGGGAAGGGCAGAGAAGGAGGAATAGGCAGGAGGAGGAATGGAACCGGTTGAAATGGAAGCAGATGCAGAGTTAGAAGGAATGCCTGCTGGAACATAGGAGTCCTCCATGGACATGTGGGCAGGACCAGTATCTGCTCTAGCTCTTGAGTCAGGAAGATCTGTAGATAATTGCTTTTCATCTTGCTTTTTGTCTGTGTTTTCTTTTGGTGCATAAGGTTCTGCTGCCACTGTGCTGGAAACATCACTACTTTCGACGGGTTGGTTCACAGCACCCAGCGTGGGCAGCTGCGTTTCAGGAATAGGGAGACTTGGATGGCATGGACTGACCTGCAGAACCTTCTCTGGTTGGGGCACTTGGGCACCTGTGTCCTGCCCAGGATGAGAGTTGGGTCTGCTGACCCAGCTTGTTTCCTGTGGGCCATGGCTCTGTCTGTCCCCGTCAGGCTGTCCAGCACCGCTGCTGTTCCCCTCGCACAGCCGGCTGGGCTGGGGGACGTGCTTGTGGGAAGAAGGCTGGGTGTGAAAGACAACTGTTGGCGACGCACTGATCTCAAAGCGACTGGGCAAAGAGGGACTGCCCAAGGAGCACAAGGTCTGTGGGCCTGAAAGGTTTGAGTTGCCTCCAATCTGCACTGGGGAACTTCTCACCGCGTAGTTTGGGCTGGCCGTCTGGAGAAATCCTATGCTCTTATCAGATCTCAGCGTCTGAAATTTGTCACCGGGGCTCATGCTGATAGCAGAGTCGTGTTTTTCCTGGTCCTCAGCTGGGATGCTGTTGAGCGTGTCCCCCTGAGTTTCCTTGCTGGCCTTGCAGGCTTTGGTGGCAGCCTGGCAGGCTTTGTCCATGGCTTCATGACTGCACAGTTTTTCCTCCGCCAACACTGAGTAGATCTGTGCCAGAAGCACCATGGCACCTGCATCCAGCTGGGGAGGCTGCAAATCCTCCCCATCTTCCTGCACTCCTGCAGCACCCAGTTTGGTCCGGTGGACATACTGGGCTGCCCGGTTATCTCCCAAGGCATCCAAACAAATTCTTGCATCTGCTTCTTGCCGCAGAGTGAGCAGGACCATGGCTTGCAGTAATTTGCTGCTGGGCCCTAATACCAAGTGCTTCAGTTTATATTTGAGGCTAAGGAGTTTATCTTGTGGGATCTGCGCTAAAATATTAAAAATGTCCTCAAAGCTTGGCTGGAGCTCGGTGCTCTGTGCCATCTCATCAGCTGGTGGCCCAGACGAGGGACTGAAGCAGCATGGATGGAAAAAGCCTATTATGGCACCTGGAGTGAAGGTTCGTTTCCCTACGGTGCTCCGTGACCCCCCCAGGTCGTGCTTCACCTACTGCACAAGCGAAAGCTCTTTGCTGCTCAGGAGCTCATCTCAGAGTTGGGATGCCTCTGTTCCGAGGAACCTGCAAGAAGAACGCAGAAATAGAACAGAAATAGTGACGAGGGGAGCTGGGGGGGCCCTCACGAGGCTTGCAGAGCTCCCAGGCTCTCCCTCCGGGCTCTCAAGTATTTTTGCATCCATTCTTGCAGGTCTGCCAGTGCTCCGTGTGTTATTCCAACTCCGTTATTAAGCAAAGAGCAAGTTGTCTGCATTCATTTCACATTAATTACAACTGTTTAAAAATAATAGCCGATCTAATCATGTATTTAGGTAAATCGAAGCGTCCCTCCTCCTCCGGGCAGCTGGTTCCAGCGGGCTCCTTGCGATGGGCCGTTGAGGAATAAAGCGCGCTTAGAGGAAGCCCTTTCGAACAGCTCACGCCAGGAGGGCTGACTGGTAACCCACACGCATCCAGTGTCAGGCTGCCGAATGTTAATGGTGGAGGCCATCTCCATCCACATCTGACCCCTGAGCCCTGCTAAACCCTCGCACTCACCCAAGGCCTCTGACCGGGGTTAAATTGAAGAGCAGAACTTGTCCGGAGCGGAGGAGCGGGTGCCTGGAGGCTCCAGGGGCAGCCAGGAGGGACACTGCTCACAGCACTGACTGAGCCTGGCGGCAGAGCGTTCCCTATTTAAAGGGAGCACCAGCGAATGCCCAAAATAGCTCTCAAGTGGGGAAAGTTTATAATTTCAAGTTGTTTTCTTCCTATCTCATAAAAATCCTCTAATTGCCTAATGAACGAGCTCGAGCCGAACCTGAGGAAGTTGCTGACTCTTTCCATGAAAACTGATTCAGTGAAACGGCGGCAAGGGGGGAGGGGAAGGGAGGGGAGGGGAGGGG